TTTACATTGATTTAATTTTTTTCTTTGTGAAGTTGATCCATTATCCTCATCAGTTCAACTTCCACTTCTAATCATAGTAACTAAAATGTGAGTTTATGCTTTACTGTCCTAGTTCTTTGTCCCTCTCTTAAAAAAACCTCATTAAGTCATAGACTGACCAGAATAAAGAGAAATTTAAATTCTTTACAATGAGAAATGAGGACGTGACCAACACAGGGAAGGCAGGCGCTGTCACCTGCTGCAGGCTGCTGTCCTCTGTGTTCAGGGACGAGAGGAGCAGCTGTGCGCGCTAGAGAAGGAGCTGAGTGCGGAGCCCCAGGCAGCAGCAACTTCTTTCACGGCCGCATCAGCAGCGCCATTGCTGAACTGTTTCTAGATTCTCTGCCTTCAGCCTGATTGTGAGCAGTTCAGAAGGCTGTAATAATTGTTTTTATGTAGAGTGGGCATGGAACTGTACCTGAGAATCACATCCAATTCACATGCAGAATATCACCGCTATTACCCACGTTGTTGTTCATTGTTCTATTTCCCCCGTGGTATGGTGAGAGAAGACCTGCATGGAAACCTTCCAAGTCATAAAACTCAAGTTCCAGGAGCACTGCAAATCCATCAGGTTTTCCCATCCTTCTCTCTTGGTAAAAAAGGAGGAGAATGAAGTTTTCTTTTTATCCTTCAGGTTTTCTTTCTTCAGGCTTGAACAGATAGATTCTCCATGTTCATGCTGTGAACACTTCTGTACTGAGCACTGAGAGAGACATTCAGTAGTTACTCTGGGCTCTCTCCTTCCTGCAGTGAAAGCTCTCTGTTGAAAACTGAGATCCTCTCGGTATGGATGCTGGACTCTCTCTGTACAGCTCTGTCCATTCTTCCTCTGGCCTCGCTCATCTGGATCAGTTTTGCTTCTTCCTTAACACAATGGGCCAACAAACTCTTCTGGATTTCTCTTTCCTGCAGCAGCTTTGGAAACGCTCTGGAAGGTGTAAGAGAGATGGATTTCATTCTTTTATTTTGTTTTTTCTGTTCTTTTAATTTTTAAAAAAAATTAGTGGGGAAGGAGGTATAAAGATGATTAAGATAAGTTCTATATGAAATACACAAGACTTTGATAAAAAATTTTAAAATTTTAAATTTATGTGTATGAATATGTTATGCCGGGTTGTATGTCAGCGTGTGTACTGGAGTAACAGACATTTGGTAGCCACCATGTGAGTGCGAGGATTCAAAACAGTTCTTCTTAGCAGTCCTCTTAGCAGCTGCGTCATCTCTCCATCCCCTCTCTTCTTTCTAAGTGGTGTTTTTCCATTCATCTTTAATGTTCCATATTCTGCAAGTCATTTTTCTGTATATTTTGTTCTTGATTTTACTTACTCCTTAGAAGCTTTCAAATAAGATTGATTTTGGTCCCTAGTAAACTTTCTGAAAGCTCTGGGTTAAGGTTAGAATTTTTTACTATTTGGGGTTCTGCAATAACGAACCTTGATTTGGGGCTTGCAATCAGGACCTCAATACAATGCCTTCATGTCTTGATTTTTTAAACAAAACAAAGGTTTTTTTATATGTTTATAAGTGTTTGAGTATCTAAAATTTGATATTGTGGGACCCATGACGTGGCTCAGCAGGTAAAGGCACCTACGTAGCAGCATAATGACCTGAGTTCTATCTCTGGAACCCACGTAAACGTGGAAGGGCAGAAGTGACTCCAAAATTGTCCTCTGATCACCACAGGTAGGGCCCATGCACCTGGAGTCCTCCACATCATTCACACACAAGCCCAGTGATAATAATAGATAAATTGTTCAACAGTTCACCTTGCGTTGTGATGTCCGTACTTTGACTGTTGTTGCTTTGTCTGGTCCTCACATGAACAGTAAACTAGAGCTATTGGAGTCACATGATCTGTACACATTGCTCTTGCTGTCACCTATGTTGTAAGGTTTTACATAGTTGAGTGTTTCTTTGCAGATGTTACCAGTGCCTGGATGGTTATGATAGAGCCTGATGTTCTCATATACAGCAGGAAGTAAAAGGAATAAACTCTGGTACAGCCTGGCTCTACTGGACAAGACTGTCTTCTGGACATGACAGGGCTGTCTCACTTTTGAACTGACAGCATTTGTAGTTAGCTGCACAAGATGAAGCCAGTGAAAACTCATCCATAGATGGTAGAGTGATCTCCAGGCCCATCCCCATGGTGAGGAGCTACTGGAGCTGCTGGGGAGGGAGAATCATTCTTTTCTCAGGGTGTGGTACTGGTCTTTTCCCATGCTCCAGTGTAGTACTGCCCCAATACCCATGCACATGTGGGCAGCACGAATTGGACTTACTGTGGTTTATAAATTACAAAAAGGGAAGACATGTAATTAGGACATTCTATGTGGGGAAAATAGTGAGAAATTGGAGTGGAAATGAGGGAGGGGTAGGTCCATAGTTCATTGTGTACATGGAGAAAACGGTCAAGAATAAGAAAAATTAAAAAAAAAAACACTGAAATAAATAATTTCTCAAATCACCACTTAGAAACAGCAGAATTGTCAAGAATAAGAAAAATTGTAAAAAAAAAACAAAAGAAAACATTGAAATAAATAATTTCTCAAATCACCACTTAGAAACAGCAAAAAGACCCAGAGAGGCAGCTTAGTGGGCAACGCTGTTGACACAGAAGCTTCAGGACTCAAGTTTGGACCCCCAGAGCTCATGTGACCAAGCAGGCATTTTAGCTGCCTACAAAGATAGCACGCTGGAGGCAAGCACAGCCTGTCCCAGGGTACACGGGACAGCTACAGCCGTGACCTCACCATACCACAAATATGTAAAATTTCTTGTTCATTCCAGACCACTGGATAGAAGCAAATCCTAACAAAGTCTATTACATTTTTATGCATAGACACAGTACTGAAAAATGATGGGATGTTTCTTACATTGTCTAAAATGTTACAAAGAACTCACATTCCCACTCTGAAGCACAAATTTCTTCACTTCTGAAGAGAACATGAACTTCCTATTTTCAGTAGAAAGATTTTTTTCAATGTCATTCTCTTGGAATTTGAATATTACTATGAAAATATACTAAGTCCCAGGGAGGGAGTGCTCCTAACACTGAACAAGGCAAATAGCTACCCTGCTAACAACAAATGGAAGACAGTACTAATTCACAAGAAGGCTGTGAGAGGATACAGTAATTAAGCATTGCTACTTGTGGTGGGGAGGTTCTGCCCTTCAGACTGACTGTGAGGAAGACAAACAGCAGTTTTTCCCCTCACTGATTTGCTTCTGGGTTCACATCTACGTTTCAGGGTCTCTACGGTGTGCAAGTGTGGC